TGTGTGTGTGTGTGTGTGTGTGTGTGTGTGTGTGTGTGTGTGTGTGTGTGTGTGTGTGTGTGTGTGTGTGTGTGTGTATCGTCAAACAGAGCTGCCCCATAAACTGTATGCAGAGAGGGAGAAGAGGATTCAGCCTCCTGATGAGTCGGTGAAACTCCGACGAACAGTTTGTCACATCTATGTATATATATGTATGTGTATATATATCGTCAAACAGAGCTGCCTGGTAAACTATAGGCAGAGAGGGAGAAGAGGGGTTGTGACAAACTGTTTCGGCGGAGTTTCACCGACTCATATTGGATAAAAAATGTCTGAGAAAAAGTTGTGTAATCGCGGTTGCAATCGCGGTTGCCTGTGACCTAGTGATAACACGAGTTTCTACAGTGTTAAAGGATAAGTATAAGCAAACAAACCTGAGTTATGGCTTATCGTTTAATTGTTCTTTAACTACAGTAAATGGGAAGTACACAAAGATGACCAGTGGATAGCCAGAAAAGGACTTGGCTATCCACAACAGGTCATTTTCGTGTACTTACCATTTACTGTAGTTAAAGAACAATTAAACGATAAGCCATAAGTCAGGTTCGTTTCCCTATACTTATCCTTTTAACACTGTAGAAGCTGGTGCTATCAATAGGTCACAGGCAACCGCGATTAAACAACTTTACTCGGACATTTTTTATTTCACAATTCCCAGATAATTTCTGAATGAATGACTTTTCTGCCAAATTCCTGGGGAAAGGCTTTCGCCAAATAACATTCCCCAGTTGAGATCTAATCCAGAAAACAGGAAAAATGATGCCCGACGCCCACAGCGTCGCGCCCCGCCCCGCCCCCCCACCCCACTACACACACACACACACACAACCACCAAGCTTTCAACGGTCATTGCGTTCCACTCCCCTGTGCAAACACACACAAAAGCATCTGAAAATCGGTGTATGTCAGGGTTGCATCCCCACCGACCGCCGACCCCGACGCCGACTGTATTGCAAACGACCAGTCGGGCCAACCGGTCAGCAGTCCGCCGACCACTCAGAAAACAGCCTTCCACTGATTTTTTTAAAAATCTCATTTGGGGGCTGTACTGCGCTTGCTGAGTACAGCCCAAATCCGCTGAGAAACTTGGGTTGTCAACAAATTTTGTTTGGGGTTGGGGGGGGGGGGGGGGATGGTGGGGGGGTCCAGTAGAGAGTGGTCGGGGGTCTGCTAAGGGTGTGTTGGCCCTGTGGGGTGGGTTGCCTGAGGGGCTGTTTGAGGGTTCTGAGGGGCTTGCTGGTACGGACCATTTTGCAGCATTTTTCTGCATTTTGCAGTGGTGTTAGGAGGCAGGGTGTTTGTGTCAAGGCCCCAGGGGTGTTTGGGGGTCCCGTTGGGGGGGGTTGGGGGGGGGAACACAGGAAGTTGAGCAAGAAGATGAACCAAGTCCGCAGAGGTGCACAATTCAATTACAGAAAAGCATTACTTCAACAGGAAGATGAACAAGAAGACGAACCAAGTCCCCGACGTTTGACAAAACCGAGGCAAGATTCGAGCCCACCGGGGCCACCCTAGAAATGAAGGAGACTGAAGAATAGGAAGAAGAAGAAGAAGACGAAGATGATGAAGAAGAAGACGAAGAAGAAGAAGAAGAAGAAGAAGAAGAAGAAGAAGAAGAAGAAGAAGAAGAAGAAGCGGAAGTAGTAGTGGAATAAGTCTCTCTCTCTCTCTCTCTCTCTCTCTCTCTCTCTCTCTCTCTCTCTCTCTCTCTCTCTCTCTCTCTCTCTCTC